GGAACAGCTGGACTGCAGCGGGACCTGGGGCTCAAGTGGCCTTCAGAATTGCTCCATGCTGAGGCAGGGCACCAGGGTTCTGTTTCCTGACACCAAGGCTCCATCTCCCCAGGAAAGAGGCATAGCCTTAGTCAGATACCTCCCTTAAAGTAGATAACTCTGGGCTGCAGAGAGTGCTAAATGCAGGTACTGCTCTCCCCCAGGACACACACATTGGAACTGACTGTTGGCCTGGTAACAACCTCTCAGGAGAGCTCAGAGAGCATGTCCAGATGGGGAAATGTGTTAAGCCAGTGAGGAACAAATGTTCCTGGTTCCTGATTGGCTATGACTGAGGCCGGTTATTGATAGTCACCCATAAGGAAGGTCATAGCCTCTAACCAGGACTCCAGCTGTTAGAAGGACCTGTGCAGAGTCTGACACGAAGAGGCCATTTGCATGGGGTGAAGATGTAGACTCCTTTCACAGGTACAGGACAAGACTCATCTACACACAGACCAGTGACATTGTGTGGCTCCAGTCCTTAATCTCCACGCTCCCCTCCAGATGTCTAAAGGAACCTGAGAAAGGAACTAATCCAAGCAGCGCCTCCCATTGGAGAGAGAGCGTGATGGTGGCAGAAGGTGCCTGCACCTCCCTCATCAACAGAAGGAAGCAGAGGCTGCGCTTTGCCCGGATGGAGATGCAGGCTGGACTTGGAAGAGAGCGAAGCATACACCTATCATGCAGTTTCTCAGGATCAACTCTGAAGTAAGGGATTTCACTCCCCAAAGAAAAGGCAAGCTGGGGCTGTGGCTCAGGTGGTAGAGTTCTTGTCTAGCATGCATGAGGTCCTGGGTTCGATCCTCAGAACTTCATCAGGAGGCATGATGAAGTAATCCCAGCACTGAGAAGTGGATGCAGGAGGATCGAGAGTTCATGGTCATTCTCAGCTCCATAGGGAGTTCCAGGCCAGCTTGGGCTAGAGATCCTGCCTCAGAAAAGAAAGAAGGGAAAGAAGCAGGGGCCCCAGCGTTCCCGCCCATCCCTGGATACCTGCAGCATTTGTGACTGGGGAACTCTGCCATGCTCTTGGGCGCTGAGTTCCTGGATTCCATTGCTAGCCGCTGCACTGCCCTGGAGAACGAGCGTGGGCCATGTTTGCCTTCCCCCATTCAGGCTGCTGCTATGTGCTGCCACTCTGGAAGCAGCCCTGCGGCTCCTTCTACCCAGCCCTGCAAAACATCCAGATGGCCTCAACTACCCACTCACCCACCCACTTTCCTTGGAAACCGTCTGGCAATGCCCCCTAAGTGGCTTGGATAACAGAGGTCCTAGGAAGCACATGAGAGGCCTCCTCACCCACCAGGGTCCCAGGAAACAGAGAAGCTCACCGTGGTCCCTGGGATCTGACAGGTGGCCTTACAGATCTTCCTTCAGTATATTCTCAGAAGCCCAGCCTGTAGCTGAAACAGGAAGTAGCTGAGCAGCTTTCCCCTAGCAGGTCAGGCCCAGGACCCCCGAGGAGTCACCTTTGTGACCCTCAGACAGCAGCAGTGTGCCATTGACGGCGTGCTGTGCCATGCCCACTGGGGCCCACCAGGAGAGCCCTACCCTCTTGCCCACAGGAACTTGCAAGCCCCCGACACCCACAGCCAGGCACACCACACCCAGAGCTGTCAGTGAGCCCTCATCCTGCAAGGCCACTGCACCCCCGCTGGCCCTGAAGTTCCACAACACCAGCAGCAGAGGCCTTGAGATACTGTTGATGTTGACTAGAGCTGAAAAAAGCCCCACACGGTGCGCTAAAGCCTGTACCTGGAGCTTGAGTCAACATAGCCTGTTCAGTGTCCTCACATCACTGGGAGAACGTGATCCCTGAAAGTCACTTGGTAAAGATGGCAGAGGCAATGGATCTGCCAGATACACAGATATCAGTGCAGGGATGCAGAAAGCACACGCCTGTCATACCAGCATTTAGGAGGTAGAGGCAGGAAGACAGAAGTTCAAGGTCATCCTTAGCTACACAGCAAGTTTTTAAAAAACTGGAGAGATGGCTCAGCTGTTAAGAGCACTGGCTGCTCTTGCAGAGGACCCAGGTTTGATTTCCAGCACCGACATGGCAGCCAACAACCCACTGTAACTCCAGTTCCAGGGGATCTGATGCCCTCTTCTGTCCTCCAAGGGCATTGTATGACACGGGTGTACCAACTACATGCAGGCAATACACGCATACATATATAAACAAAATAATAACCCACACCTTTAGTTCCAGCACTTGGGAGGCAGAGGCAGGTGGATCTCTGAAGCCAGCCTGGTCTACATAGCAAGTTCCAGACCAGCCAGGGCTACATAGTGACCCTGTTTCAAAACAAACAAAAACCGCCTAACATTGGCCATATGCTTATGACTTACATTTTGTGTATTTATATACATTTATACAAGCATTTATATTTTTAATTTAGAAGTCCTAGAATCACAGAGGTCAAATTGAGAAAAGGCAAATAATGGTTTAGAAAGTAACAAGTAACTACTAGAGTGTTAGGAATGATCTCTACAGACATGAGTCACTTAATGACAGGGATATGTTCTGAGAAATGCTTGGTGGGGTGATCCATCACTATGAGAACATCCAAGCGAGCACTTAAACTGCTCAAGATGCCGCCAATCAGTCAGCCCGCACAGCCGCTTCATGCAAGTGAGAGACACAGAAAGCACAGGGTACGTGACGCTGGAGCAGGTGATCAGTCTGTAAGCAGTTTCATTTAGATGATTTTTTGCACTACCAGGGACAAAACCAAGGGCTTCGCACATACTAGATGAACAGTCAACCATGGAGCCACAAGCCCAGGAAATATTTTTATTATAAATAGAAGGTAAATTTTAAAACAGTGCAGTAAAACCATAAACCAGCAACACAGACGTGCTGTGATTAACAACTGCTGTGTGCTCTGTGTACCTGTGTGTGTTCCCCACACACTGCTGTCATGTGACTTTTCCTATGGAGACGTGAAAAAATGTCACTTCACCCAGGGCATTGACAGCAATTCCAGCAAGCCTAGCTGGGTGAATTGATGGACCCGTGGGGTTGCTGCAGGAGCACGGGTGGCTAAAAGGTCACGGCATCACTGAAAAGCCACCTCAGACGTGTGACAACTTGGGAACGCTGCCCCTCTCGCCCTCAGTGACTGACTGCAGGTCCTGTAGTCCCAGCAGTCGTTCACTGCAGGTAGAACCTTGGGGAGGGGCCTTGTGAGTCCTGTAGCTTTCTGCTTCTCTTGAATCAGCTGTTTCATTTGCTTCCTGAGTCTGCTGAGCGGCTGCTCATCTCCCTCCAGGAGGGCCGATTTCAATTCAGAGGGACTGAGGACACAACACTCTACCTCTTCTACCAGCTCTCACATTCTTTCTGTCCCCTCTTCTGCAACGTTCCCTGAGAGTCCAAGGGAATGATAGGAATGTGTGACGCCATGTATGGCTGAGCATTGGGCCCTCCGCCACAGCCATAGTCTCTTACTCTCAGTAGCTTGACTGGTTGTGAGTCTGCCCGGACCACCACCCACTGCAGAAAAGTTTCTTGACTGAGTCTGACAGCAGTAATCCGTGGATGAACCTCAATGTTCAGAAGGCAATTTGGCAGGTGCGTCATACCCTTTTATAAAAACAGCAGCAGAGGCCTCTTGCTGGGGCGTATGAGCTCCTCAACCACAGGTCTTTGCCTAAGTTTACAGTTTCAAACATCAGTTCTCTCCTGTGGGGCATGCATGCAGATATGTGTGTGTATGTTCATGTGTGCACATGTGCGAACTATCGGTATGCGTGCACATGGAGGTCAGAGATCAATACCAAGTATTTTCCTCAATTTCTCTCCACATTATTTTATTTTTTATTATTTTTATATTATTTTATGTGTTTGAGTGTATTGCCTGCATATATGTAAAGGCACCCATGTCCTGCAATGCCCACAGAGGTCAGAAGAGGGCATTGGATCCCCTGGAACTGGAGTTACAGGTGGTTCTTAGCTGTCATGTGGGTGCTGGGAACCTATCCTGGGTCCTCTGCAAGAGTAGCTAGTGGTCTTAACTGCTGAGCCATCCCTCTAGACTATTATTATTATTATTATTATTATTATTATTATTATTTGTCTTTTTTGAGACAGGGTCTCCTTGCAGCTCCAGCTGGCCTGGAACTCACTGTGTAGACCAGGCTGGCCTTGAAGTCACAGAGATCCACCTGCTTCTGGCTCCCAAGTGCTGGGATTAAAGGTGTGTGCCACCACGCCCAGCTCTATCTTCATCATCATCATCATCATCATTATTATTATTATTATTTTGAGACAAAATTTATCATTGAAGCTGGAGTGCATCAATTGGGCAAGGCCAGCTGGCCAATGAACTCCAGGGATCGGCCTTCATAGCCTCCCCCTTCCTGCCCCAGTGCTGGATTTGCAGCTGCAGATTGCTGTATTATTTTTTCATGGGTACCAGGGATTTGAACTCAGGTCCTCATGCTTTTTCAGCAAGCATTTTACAAACAAAGCCAACTCCAAGGCCTGTAGAGTAGATGTTAAATCCAGTTAGAAGGCAGTTGGTTGGACCCACAATAATGTTTCACTATTATTCCAGTAGGCACACCTTGCCTGGCATGTTGGTGGTGTAGCACACAGGGGCCATAACTGATAGGACTGTCAGTGGCAATTCTATCCCAGAAGTTTGTGTAGCACCCTCCAGCACTGCAAAAACCAGCCAAAATGAGGTGAATTTCTAGCTCAGTCCCAGCCTGATTCTTCCATGACCTGCCACCAAAGAATGTGGTGTCTTCAGCAACAGAGACTTAACCTAGTTCTGGTGTGCAACCAACAGCCTTTATAGTTTGTGGGGCTTCAGAGGCTTCTCTGGCCAACAACTCAAAGGGAGGTAGCCTGCCCATGGTACTGAGACTTTCACACAACATTATGGCCCCTGGAAGGGCCTTCTTCCATGTGTGCAGAGTACCTTATTTAAACTCTTGTTTTATCTTTTGAGGGAGGAGCATGAAAGCAGTCCCCAATACCACAAACTATGCAGTTAAGTTTCCTGCATTTGGGAGAACTCTCAGGAGTCAGCACACGCAAAATGCCATGGATGAGACTCATCCTGGAAAAACCACCTTCTTGATCCTGGGATCTCACTTGCCAGGTGTTTCTTAACACATTTTAACTGCTATATTTTTTAAAAAAGATTTGTTTTTATTTTTAATTAGATACACAGTGGAATTAAAAAAGAAAGCCCAGCTTTCACATCACTGCCTCAAAGGGATAATACATATGGAGTCTTATGGAATGCGAAAATATTTCTTGTTTTCTTATTTATTTTTATGTGTATGAAAAGCCTGCATGTATGTAAGTGCACTTGTGTGTGCAATGCCCACAGAGATCAGAAGAGGGCATTGGAGCCCCTGGAACTGGAGTTACAGATGGTTGTTAGCCACCACATAGATGTTGGGAAGTCAGTGCTCTTAACTGCTGAGCCATCTTACCAGCCCCCAGAAATGGTTCTTGCCACTTCAGTAACCAGAAAGCTAAATTCACATATCCACCATGAAAAAAATTTTCAAACTATGCTTTTCAAAAAATTACTCTTTCCAACATTATCAGCAATGCTAACAGCATGCACAAGACCCATGCTGACTCAATCAGACAAAAATCCAGTGCAGAAATGGGGAAGTGTGCAGCAAAGCCCCAACCCTAGCCAGTGAACTATTGACAAATGATTATTGTGGGGTGAAGCAGATACATCTTCTTTGAGGGAGTGTCTCTAAATAGACTGACTAGACTCCAGTGCTTGAACTTGCTCGGAGGGACACAAGGGTAGAAATGCTTGACTGGATAAGGATTAGTGTATATGAGAGAATACCTGAGATCTGCTGGGGGGCTTTATGAAGGGTGGGAGGAGGAGGGAGGGAGGGTGTCTGAATTTGATTCAGATGTATTATATAAAATGTACAGAAACTTATATTAAAAATGAAAAAAATCTAAAAAAAATTACTCTTTCCAGAAGCCTGCAAAACCAGTGGTGGGGAGGGGAGAGTAGGGTGCAGATAGGGGAGGGAGAATGGGGTGCAGATAGGGGAGGGGAGAGTGGGGTGCAGATGGGGAGGGGCTAGTGGGGTGCAGATAGGGGAGGGGAGAGTGGGGTGCAGATAGGGGAGGGGAGACTATGATTAAGATGTATTGCATGAAATGCACAAAAATTCAATTAAAATGTATATTGAAAAAATATATACATTTTAAGAAATTACTCCTTCTAGCCAGGCATGGTGGCACACATCTTTAATCCCAGCACTTGGGAGGCAGATGCAGGCTAATCTCTGTGAGATGGAGGCCAGCCTGGTCTATGTAGCAAGTTCTAGGTCAGCTAGGGCTACAAGGAGACTGTCTCAAAACAAGCAACAAAAAAATTTACCCCCCCCCTTTTTTTTTTTTTTGTCTTTTTGAGACAGGACTCCTTACAGCTCCAGCTGGCCTAGAACTCTCTATGTAGACCAGGCTGGCCTTGAACTCACAGAGATACATCTGCCTCTGCTTCCCGAGTCCTGGGACTAAAGTCATATGCCACCACACCAGCCTCAAAATTTACTCTTTTTTTTGGAGGCGGTGGCCAGGGCCTGGAGAGATGGCTCAGCGGTTAAGAACACTGGTTGTTCTTGCAGAAAAAACCACCTAGTGGCTCACAACTGTAACTCCAGTTCCAGGGGAACTGATGTCTTCTTCTGACCTCTGCAGGAATCACATGGCACAGGTGCACCTACCTACATGCAAGTAATACACTCATACATAAAAATTTATAAAATATTAAAAACAAACAAAGAGCAAGGTGCCCAATGTGGAGGCAAACACCTTTAATCCCAGCACTCAGGAGGCAGTGGCAGGCGGATCTCTGTCAGATCAAGCCCAGCCTGGTCTACATAGTGAGTTGGCTACAGAGAGACCCTGTCTCAAAAAGATCAAAAATAAATAAATAAATAAAAATAATAAAATATTTTTTATTTTATATTTTTCTCTTTTTTTCTCCCCTCTAAATATTATAATATGTCCACACAATCATTTCTTTACATATATACATGTATACTTTATAAATTGGGCTATACACATGAGGGGAAACATCCCATTTTTTTACTCTCTGTGCTTGGGTGACCTCAATAGTCTACATTCTACATCCATCCATTTTTCTGTGAACTTTATGATTTCATTTTTCTTCTTTTTTTAAAAAAAATATTTTATTTTTATTTTATATGTATGCATGTATTGCCTGCTTGTAGGTAAGTGCACCTGTGTCGTGCAGTGTCCACAGAGGACAGAAGAGGGTGTCAGATCCCCTGGAACTGGGGTTACGGACAGTTGTTAGCTGCCATATGGGTGCAGGGATTCAAACCCGGGTCTTCTGCAAGAACAACCAGTGTTCTTAACCACTGAGCCATCTCTCCAGCCCCCCGCCTTTTTTTTTCTTTTGGTATTTTTTGAGACAGGGCCTCCCTGTAGCCCCAGCTGGCCTGAAATTCGCTATGTAGACCAGGCTGGCCTCCAACTCAGAGATCTGCCTGCCTCTTCTTTCTTCTTTTAATAGTTACTATTTTATTTGTATGTGTATGAGTGTATTGCCTGCATGTCTGTAAGTGTACTCATGTTGTGGAATGCCCTCAGAGGTCAGAAGAGGGCGTTGGATTCCCCTGGAACTGGAGTTCCAGATGATTGTTAGCTGTCATGTATGTGCTGGGAATTGAACCTGGGTCCTCTGTAAGAGCAGCCAGTGCTCTTAATTGCTGAACCATCTCTCCAGCCATTTTTCTTTAAGAGCTGAATAATATTCCATTTTATACAGGTACCAGATTTTCATTATCCATCCCTTGATGGACAACTAATGTGCTGGACAGCTTCAGTCGTCAACTTGACACACCTGAGTAGAGGGAGCCTCACCTGAAGAATTTCCTCTGTTAGACTGGCCTGTGGCCATGTCTGTGGGGAATTTTCTCAGTTAGTGAGCCAAGTGGGAGGCCCAGCCTATTGTGGGTGGTGCCACCCCTGGGCAGGTGGTCCTGTGTTGTATAAGAAAGCAGGCTGAGCACAGGCCAGAGGAGCAAGCCAGTAAGCAGCTTTCCTCCACGGCCTGTGCTCCAGGTTCCTGCCCTGAGTTCCTGCCTTGGCTTCCCTTGGTGATGGACCGTGACCTGTAAGCCAAATAAACCCTTTCCCCCCAAGCTGGTTTGGTCAGTGTTCTGTTACAGTGGTAGAAAGTAACTAGGACAACTAGGTTGGTTCCATGTCCTTTCTATAGTGAATGGAGCAGCAATAAACATGGGGTGCAAGGATCTCTAATAGGGTGGGGTTCTCTGGGTATATTCTCAGGTGTGAAATAGTTGGGTCGTATGTAGCTCTATTTTTAAACTTTTGAGGAACCACCAATTGATTTCCATAATGGCTGTGCTAATTTGCACTCCCACCAGCTGTGAATAAGGATTCCTCTTTCTCTGCAACCTCCCCAACGTTTGTGGTTGCGTTTCTTGATGATCGCCCTTCTGACTGGGGCAAGGTGGTATCTCAAAGTAGTTACGCATTTTCCCAATGACTAGGGATGTTGAACACTTTAAAGTAGTTGTTGCCCATTTGTATTTCTTTTCCTAGAAACTGTTCATTCAATTCATTGGCCTAGTTGTTGATTGCTAATTTTATTTCTTTGGCATTTAATTTTTGCACTTCTTTGTATGTTCCGGATATTAACCCCTTGCCTGATGTATAGTTGGTAAACATTCCTCCCATTTTGTGGCCTGTGTGCTCTGCTGAAAGTTCTTTTCCTGTGCAGAAACTTTTAAAATTCATATTTCTTATCTGTTGATTCTTGGGACAAATTCCTATTGATGTTCTTGCCTACCCCAATGTCCTGAAGATCATTTGCTATAGTTTCATCTAGAAGTTGCAGAGTTTTAGGTTTTAAATTAAGGTCTTTGATTCATTTCAAATTGATTTTGTATGAGGTAAAAATAATGAATCTAATTTCATTTTTCTGCAGTTAGAAATTCAGTTTTACCAACACCATTTTTTTATTTTTAGTTTTTTTAAATTTTTATTTTATTTTATATGTATGAGTGTTTTGCCTGAATGTATCTAAGTTCATTGATGTTATGCAATGTTTGTAGAGGCTAGAAGAGGGCATTGGATCCCTTGGAATTGGAGTTTCACACGTTAGTTGCCGTATGGGTACTGGGAACTAAACTCAGGTCCTTTCTAAGAGTAGCCAACATTCTTAACTGCTGAGCCATCTCACCAGCCCCTGCCAACACCTTTTATTGAATAGGCTATCATTTTTCCAATTTGCCTCCTTTATTAAAAAAAAAATAGGTGGGTTGCTGAGTGTGGTGGTGCATGCCTTTAATCTCAGTGCTCAGAAGACAGAGGCAGGCAGATCTCTGAGAGTTCGAGGCCAGCCTGGTCTACATAGTGAGTTTCAGGAAAGCTGGGACTACAGGGAGACCCTGTCTCAAAAAGACAAAAAAACCAGGGCTGGAACCCTCTTCTGACTTCTTTGGGCACTGCACACACAGGTGCACTTACACACATGCAGGCAATACACTCATATACATAAAATAAAAGTAATAAATAAAAAAAAAGAAACCCAGACAAATTAAAAAAATAGGTGGACATAGCTTTGCTGGTTTACTCCCAGGTCCTCTGTGCTGTTCCATTGGTCGACTTGTCTGTCATTCTGCCAGTACCACGCTGTCTTTATCACTATAATTCTATAGGAGTCTCAGATTCTGATTTGGGATCAGATAGTGTGATGTGTCCAGCTCTTCATGTTCCATAGGATTGCTTTGACTGTCTGTGGTCTTTTGTGGTTCCATGTGACTTGTTGGATTGTTTTTTCTAGTTCTATGAAATATAACCTTAGACTTTTCATGGGCATTGCATTAAATCTGTAGCTTTTTGTTGCTATAGCCATTTTCACAGTATTGATTCTGCCAATCTAGGAGCCTGGAAGTTCTTTCCCTCGTTAGGTTTCTTCTTTGATCTGTTTTCAGTGTGTTGAAGTTTTCATCATAGTGAGCTCTGTCTTCTTTGGATACATGTATTCCTAGATATTCAGTGTATTTTTTGATACTATTTTGAACAGGATATTTTCCCCAGTGTCCTTCTCTAAGAAAGTGAATTGT